GTAGGTGGGTCTCTCGATGTCAAGGTTGCGGCGGCAGATGTCGTAGATGGCCTCGTTATCGACCATGAAGGCGCAGTCCGAATGCTCAAGGGTGGTGTGGGTGGTCAGGATCGAGTTGTAAGGCTCGACCACGGCGGTGGAAACCTGGGGAGCGGGGTAAACGGCGAACTCGAGCTTCGACTTCTTGCCGTAGTCAACTGAGAGACGCTCCATGAGCAGAGAAGTGAATCCGGATCCGGTTCCTCCTCCGAACGAGTGGAAGATCAAGAAGCCCTGGAGACCGGTACATTGGTCAGCCAGCTTACGGACACGGTCCAGTACGAGATCAATGAGTTCCTTTCCGATAGTGTAGTGTCCACGAGCGTAATTATTAGCGGCATCTTCCTTTCCGGTGATCAGTTGCTCGGGGTGGAAGAGTTGCCTGGTGGAGGAATAAATTCTTAGAACTGGAGGTCAAGTCTAAATGTTTGCCGACAAGGGGACTGTCAGAACGCATCACGGAAAGCTACGGAATCGCGACATTGATACATGGGGGAGCTCTTCAGCCGGCGTCGTCGGAAGCTGCGAGTGTAGCGCGAGACAGGCTTGGGATCCTCCAGAGGTTGTCAACAAGGGAATCGACAAGTAAATGGCGATGGATCATCGCTCCGTCAATCAAGTGAAGCTAATTACCTGTAGGCTCCGGTGCGGACTTCATCGACAACGGTTGGTTCGAGATCGACATACACGGCACGGGGTACGTGCTTGCCAGCGCCGGTCTCCATGAAAAAGGTGTTAAAGGAGTCATCGCTGCCTCCTACGTTTTTATCAGAGGGCATCTGACCGTCGGGTTGAATACCGTGCTCGAGGCAGTACAGCTCCCAGCAGGCATTTCCGATCTGGACTCCGGCCTGACCGACGTGGACAGAGATGCATTCACGCATGTTGAATTTTTGGAGGCTGCAAAGAATGTCCTCGATTACTACAAGGATAATTGATGCGGATAAGCAGCGAATTATTCGAGACGAATCACGCGGAAAGCCGCCAAGCTTCGAAAAGAAGCACGGCGGAGCTTTTATTTTTGGTTTGCCTCCACGGCCCTCGGGTGCGGACTCGTGCGGTTTTTCCGATCCGAGATCCGATCCGTAGAGACGACGAGTGACTCACTCAGCCAGCCACACCCAGCCGCAGCGTAGTCATCGACTTGGAAGACAACGCCTTCTCCATTGACAACCGAGATTGAAGAGCCATGCAAAGCTGTGGGACGCCACCAATGTCGGAATATAATTCGGAGCGAGGCCAATCTAGGTATAGGATCCAAGTGGCCTGGATTCCGAAGGGGCTCACATCTATCCCACTGCGGAGTCTCACGATTCTTGGATGAGTCAACGAACAGCTGACGATTTCATCCTTCATCCCCACTCATGTCTATGATGATCACGAATGGAACAGTTGGAAATTCGCTAAATACGGGAATCATTCTCACGAAGCTCGGAAGCGTCGGATCACGACAACGTGGCTCATCGCAACGGTCACCGGACGAGGTCGGCTCGTCCGTTATACGGCCATCTCCAGAAGATTTGCGGAGTATCAACATAACTCTATGCCGCTGGATTGAGAAGTCAACAAAAATGGATTAGAGCTTGGCTTTCGAGAACGAGAAATATTCCCATTTCAATTTCTGGCAGCAGTCCCTTTCACCATGATACGGTTCCGACCGGGAGACTCGGGATGGAAGACCACCGTATCACGGTTAGAGGAGACGATGACTTCCCACAACCTCTTGCATCTTCTCGGGGTTCGAGAAGAGATTGACGGTCATTCGGATTCGACTCAGGCGATCTTCTCGGAACACGGAGATCGAGAGAATGCACCCGGCACCGCCCTGTCAGACGTTAGGCCTAAAAGCCCCATCCATTCCGAATTCCGAACTGTCAAATCAACGTTTGTGTCCTGGACACGGAACTCGCCCGAAGCGTCAACACTGTCCGCGAACACTCTACTAGAAAATGGGGGGATGTTTGCTCACCGGTTTCCGTCAGCTATGGAGAAAACTTGAAATTACGTTGAACCGACGTGCTACGAGCACAAGTTCAAACGAGCGTGGCTTCCATTGCCGGGTTCTCGCCTTATATAGCGACACTCGCCCGAATCGATGCGACGACCTGATTTTTCGATAGACGTCCGAGACGATTCCCTGTGCTCCCCGAAGTAGGGTCGCATCACTGGGAGTGAATTTAATTCAATTCTAGAGTCTATCGGTGGATTCCGAAGATATCCGGCAAATTGGAATGAGGATCTTGTTTGCTCCGGGTGCCTCGACCGCGATTCGGAACTTGGACGACTTTTCGCCGGTAAAGACTCGCAAATCTATAATGGAAGACAGAAATCCCCGCTAAGAGATCCTCCACGCTACTGTGAGGTTTCATGCGCATTTTCGGGATCGGGACCCTAAAAACGGCACTTGGTCCACGCAGCGCCGAGAAACCGCATGCCCTAATAGGGTATCGTCTGTCTCAAATTTGTGAGCACATTGACTCGAGGTCCATCGAAAGTACGAAAATCTCCGAATCAAGAGGAGTTTTTCTCTTGTATTTTTCTGCTTAAGAATTACCGGTCGGTCCCCTGACTTCGACCCCCTCGTGTTTCGTCTCCACGCGATCGGGACTGACTTCGGTGAATTCCTCCAGTCCGAAAGAACATCATCCGCCTGCGCTCCTACCTCGCCTTTTCACCAGAAATTCCTGTCAATACTGCTCCACTGATAAACGCAGTCCCAAACTCGAGGAAGCGATCTCCCTAACGCCGAGTCTGATGAAATCCTTCCCATTAGCGACGTCATCCGTCTGCAGGAAATCATAGGAGATAACGGCTGGCTCCCACATCTTCGAGACAGCATGGAATCTTACCCAGTCTCGACCCCAGTGGGACGGTCAGCTGCCTACTTCCCCTCACAGATTCCGACCACCCCAGTTTATACGCATGAATATACCTCGGGTACTTCCTCCTCTTCAGAAGCCTCGAAGGGCCGCACGGAATCCCCTGTTGTCTCAGGAGGAAGAACTGACAGACATAGAGACAGTATCATTTCGATTCATAGACGCAAGGGCTGAAATTCCGGAGTCATGGCAAAATTTCCACTTCGTGGAGTTTCTCGCAACGAAGAAAAGCAATGAAGACAGCACACTCGTACGAGATTGGTTCGTTTTTAATGATGTGACCGAATGAACATCCGAGAAAAGCTGGCAGAGTCTAGCATTACAATCGCCAATCTGCGTGGACACCTGAGGCGCCTCTAGGTCACAACTTCTGGTTTTCCAGGATGTCGACGCAGCTTAGAACTCGTCCCCGCCGTCGTCTTCGGCTCCTCCATCCTGGGAGTCAATTCCGACCTCTTCGTAGTCTTTCTCGAGGGCGGCAAGATCTTCACGAGCTTCAGAGAATTCACCTTCTTCCATGCCTTCTCCGACGTACCAGTGGACGAAGGCTCTCTTGGCGTACATCAGATCGAACTTATGATCCAGACGGGCCCAAGCCTCTGCGATCGCAGTGGTGTTGGACAACATGCACACGGCACGGGGCACCTTGGCGGTGTCACCACCGGGCACGACGGTCGGCGGCTGGTAGTTGATACCGACCTTGAAACCAGTTGGGCACCAATCCACAAACTGGATGGTACGCTTGGTCTTGATGGCGGCGATTGCCGCATTGACGTCCTTGGGGACAACATCTCCACGGTACAGGAGAC